GCTTAGAGCTGGGGGGAAGTAAACACTGACAGATTTTTTAGTGTTTACCAAGATGAAAGTTTTATGGCCATTTAGGCACAAGTCAGAAATTTCATATTAATTAATGTGAATTAATTGTTATCTGAGATTTTGGGAGAAGGAGCAGGTTGAGCCAGGGTTGTTCTTGCATGGTTGTGACCTTTCTGTGCTTCATTCCCACAAACACAAAACCCGCTGACATCCTGGCTTTTTCCAATGAATGCAGTCGTTACATAATTCTGATAGTTAATGATCATTTCAGGTACTAATGGAGTAAAGGGGGGGCAGAGCCCTCCTTGCTGAGAATCCCCTGCTCCTCTGTGCTTTGCTTTGCTTTGTTTGGGTTTTTCCTGAGCTGTTCTGTCAAACCCTGAATGATGAGACAATTTGCTTTGTAATGAGAAAGAAATTCTCACACTGAGCTTTTTATGGAATTTTATTGGGGAATCTTTCAGCTTTTCAGAAGCACGTGATTCTGTGTGCACACACGAAGTTGGGCTCCTGCTATGGCTCTTGGCTTCTGATTTGGGTAAAGTGTATTGCAATGGAGATTTCTGCAGGTTTTTTGTTTTGTTTTGTTTTTGCAAAGGCTTCCAACAGGAGGAAAAGATTAGGGATATAATTGTGATTCATAATTATCTGTGCATGCTCCAGAAGTCTTGGCTGCTGTGCAGTCACAGAGATGCATTATGGATGGAGTGAGTGATGAAATTGTTAGCATGTGTTTACATCCTGATAGCAGGTGAAAATAGAGCTATCAGTGGGAATGACTTAGTGCTATTAAAGCTGAATTTCTGTCTTCAGTTAGCAAGTTCTGTTTGCTTTGCCACAGTTCAATTCAAAGAATGCTCTATTATGAATGAGCTGGGAGATCAGAAACCGAGAGCTCTTGTGCATCCTTCATTAAAGATGACACCGTTGACTCAAACTTTCTCCTCTAACAAATTAAAACAGATATTTAGGCCTGGTGGTTCCTCAGGCCAGAATCCTGCTCTGCAATGGCAATCTGTGATTTTTGGTTTGGTTTGGAGTGTGAAACCAAGTTTGGAGTTTTTAAATGAGCACTTGGCAAAGCTTCAATCTCTCTTCAGGAAATCTGTAGCAATGAGGGATTGCTGTTACACAAAGCTGACACACCTCAGACTCCTCACTGATTTTTTTAATGAAATTTTTTGGCACATCTGGCTCTATTATGAATGAGCTGGGAGATCAGAAACCAAGAGCTCTTGTGCATCCTTCATTAAAGATGACACCGTTGACTCAAACTTTCTCCTCTAACAAATTAAAACAGATATTTAGGCCTGGTGGTTCCTCAGGCCGGAATCCTGCTCTGCAGTGGCATGCAAGAAAATGTGGGAAAACCAAACTTCTGACTAAACTACTTTGTGCTACTTGAACAAGCACCTTTAAACTATTTAGTGAAAAAAATCTGTGATTTTTGGTTTGGTTTGGAGTGGTGAGAGTGAAACCAAGTTTGGAGTTTTGAAATGAGCACTTGGCAAAGCTTCAATCTCTCTTCAGGAAATCTGTTGGAATGAGGGATTGCTGTTACACAAAGCTGACACACCTCACATTCCTCACTGAACTTTTTCATGAAATTTTTTGGCGCGTCTGGCTGTGCTCCCCTGGATCACTCCTTTGCCTGAATCCCCACATTTCCAGGGGATGTTTTCCACTACTAATATGTTAGAAGTAGGAAGGTGAATGAAGCACAGAGTGGCAGTGACTTTGTTAATATTGCATGCTCTATGGCTGGGAACTATTGTCTTTGCAGCTCTGCCTTTTCTTCAAAATGAAGCCCAGCTGAAATCCTCAATTCTCCCTTGGCTCCCCCTGTTCATCTGTCTTGCTGCCACCCGTTTGTCTTGCAGCCCATCTGTTAAAGATATTTCTTACTTGCAGTTTGGTGCTTAATAGATAAAAAATAATAATGTTGAAATTACAGTGTCTGTTTCTAGAGTGGTGCTTTAAAATATCTCCTTTCAGCAGCACTGCTGGGGTTTTTTAGTGCTTACTGTTGTTATTTGTTATGTGAGTGCAGCACCAGTGGAGAGCTGCGAGCTCTGTCTCCAACAATAGCCGGCAAATCTGGAGTTGTCCAAGTATTTTTCTTTTTTTTAGACTTTTCAGTCATTTTTGGGTTTTTATCACATAATGTAAGATTGTTTTTAAAGGATCCACTGAATTAATCTGTACATTTATATGTATTTCTTTTTTGGTGAGCTGCTCACGACAGCAATCTGCTGACTCGAAGGCAATTCGTGTTTTTCTGAAATTTTTAGTCTGTGCTCAATAATTCAGTAATGTGCCATTATTACCTATTTAATGTATTCTTGCCATTAAACTTTCATTTCCTTTTGTGCAGTTAAATGTCACTGAAGACTGAACTGCACCAGGTTTATCTTGAGATGAGCAGCTCAACAGGCCAAGCTTGAAATTCTAATCAAGCAGCTTAAACTTGTTTTCAATAAACTGAGAATTAGGTGTTGCCGCTGCTGTGGCACTGTTTGGGCAGGTAATGTTTCAAAATCTTGGTTTTATAAATTAATATCCATCACTGAGGGAGTTTCTGTTTCTAAATGAACTTTAGGAGCTTTGCTTTTAGGCCACTGAGGCTTTGGTTGAGAGGATTGCTTGGAAAAATTGATATTTGTAAAGTTTTCAATTGTGCTTTTGAGAAAAAATTTTTAAGTGTTTATTTATTTATTTATTACTCTCTCTTAGTTAAAATGGGCAGATCCAGGTGGGATATTTGGCCCTTTTCCAGTGGAAGGTATTTTCACTCTGTTGTATTTGTGCGGCCTTTTTGTGCTCAGCAGCTCCCAAAAGCTGCAGAACCACTGAGAACAGAACCTCCACCTGCATTTCCAGGCTTTATTCTGCAAATTGCTGACTGTTTTCTGCAGGATCCCTTCTGGGTTTGGTCTAATCTTAAAAAGAAATGGGATTTTTTTAGGCTTTCTCTGTGTGTCTGTGCCCTGTGTGGTTTGCAGAGCCTGGGACGTCAGCAGTGATCAGAAATGTGACCCAGCAGGCTCAGAAATGAGGGGGGGCTGTGGGGAGGGGCTGGAGCAGAGCTGTGCCCTGTTCTCCACCAGAATTGCCACGGAAGGAGCTGCCACAGGAGCAGCCATGGGCTCTGCAGGGCCCTGCAGCTCAGGGAGCCTCTCCTGTGCTTCGTTCCTTCGTCAGCCTCAATCAAACATCAGCAGATTCAGCCTGGAGCAGGTGGGCTTTGCCCAGTCCCGTGTGACTCTGCGGCTCCAAACCGCCCCACAGAAAAAGGAGCAGACTAAAATGCACTTGCTTTGAGGCAAAGCAATGTTTCCTTTAGTAGCACCCTTGCACCCTTCCTCCAGTTCCAAAATAATTGTGTTCATATATATACATAATATAGTTTTTAATATATACATATAAAAATAGATATAATAATATGTAAACATAGATTTATATCTATATAAAATATATAATTTAATACCTATGTATTATACATTATGTTTTACATATTACATATTATATATTATATATATTATAATAGTTATAATATATAAAATATAGTTTGATATAATATTTATGTATTTTTATATAAAAATATATATAAATATATATTTATTTTATATATGAACATATAATATATATAATATATTAAATATTATATAATATATTATATAATATATATTATATTATATACATTATATATTATATATATTATAATAGTTATAATATATAAAATATAGCTTGATATAATATATATTTTTATATATTTTATATAAAATATATATAAATATATATTTTATATATGAACATATAAATATATATAATATATTAAATATTATATATTATATAATATATATTATATATATTGTATATTATATATTATAATAGTTATACTATATAAAATATAGTTTGATATAATATATATTTATATATGTTTTATATATAAATATATATAAATATATATTATATATATTTTATATATATTTATAAATATATATAAAGTATATATAATATATATAAAAATATAGTAATATATAATATAGTTTAAATATATCTATTATAATTTATATATCTATCTAGAGATATTATAAATATATATATATATTTATCTAGGGTTTTTTTCACATAGGGAGAAAAAAGCACCACGTTTTTCTATTTAAAAGCATTATATCAAACTTTTAATGATGGCTGCTGGGATGAAAGTCAATCTCAGTCTCATTTCCAGGCTTCCACACTTCCTAAGGAAAGAAAAACATGACTTGTGTTGTTCCATGGTGTTTTTCTCAGTAATAATTTCTCAAAGCTGTTTGTCAGTTTGCTGGGATGGGTGGGTGGACATTTCATTTTTGTTAGTTGGGTGAAATTACAGAGTTGAGATTGTGCTTCAGAAAGTGAACCTGATACAGGCAGCCCGAGGCGTGCTCTGTGTGCCTGGGCAGGAAGGAGCCCACAGAGAAGAATTCTGTGATAAAAGGCAAAGAAAATGAGATGTCATGCTGTGTGACTTTGTCATTGGTAGTTATGCACATTTTTATATAAAATATGTGTGTGAGGTGGGGGACATGGCTTCACTGGAGCAGTGAGACCGTAGATTCTCGCAGCAAACTGAATTTCACTGGGTGTTGTCATAGAATTCTTTTTATAAAATTGTTCATCTCTTCAAATAAAAAGGCCTACAGCATTTAAAAATTTTACAGAGCAAGTTGTATTCTGTCAGTGGCAAATCTTCACCATTGGAAAGGGATTATTTGATGGAAGTGTTGGCATGAAATTGCAGACATTAATAATATTAATTCATAAAATGCTAATTTTAATAATATTATTAATAATATTTATAAAAATGTCATATTTGTAAGCACATTTTGCAGTTGTAACCTTTGTACTGAGAGCCCTTTCCTTGTGTACTGTTTCCTTTATTTACTGGGTTTTTATTTTTATTCCTTTATTTGTGCTGCATTTGAGGCATTTTCCTTAACAAAACCTCACAGCTTTGCTGAGAGTGCCCGAGAACAATATGAAAAACTGTCCAACATGCACAACAACATGACAAAACTGTATGAAAATCTGGGAGAATATTTCACCTTTGATCCCAAAGCAATAAGCATAGAAGAATTCTTTGGTGATCTCAGCAACTTCAGAACTCTGTTCTTGGTGAGTAATACCTGCAAAATGTTATGTAACATTTTTCTTATAGGTTTTTCTCCCCAGTTTTAACTCTTTCCTTGTCTCTCTGTTTTTTCTGTTATGCTTAATTTTGTGTTTTGTTCCATGGCAGGAAACTGGGGGAACATTTCCAGAATTATTTAGATTTTGGTCATGACATATTTTTTTCTAGTGTCTAAGCCGATAACTCAACTGTGGATAAGGTTGAGCCAAATCTAATTCAACTTTGATATTTTAGCAATGTAATGAATCAGGTTTAATAGACCAGGGCAAACATTAAAAGTTCAGAGTGAAGGATTTTTGTTTTTGTATAAGGGGCAAAAAAATTACAAAAAAATAATTAAGATTTTCTGCGACATTTTTATGCTTGCAAGAAGTCTCCCCAGAGGAAAAATATGCTGAAATTCCTTTAATATGTGGGATTTACTTTGAAAAAGTAGTAAGTACTGATAAGAATTGAGGAGTACCCCAATCAGATAAGAGTGGGGTAGAGAACATCTCCAACCATTCCCTGTGTTAAATTTGTCCTGTTCCCATTCCTGACACCTCCCTGCTCCCTCCAAGGGCTCCATCAGCTTCCTTTGGAGTTTTGGTGGTTGGCTGAAGTGTGATTCCAGATATTTTATAACCATTGATGGCTCCTTTTATCCTGTTTGTCATTCTTTTATGTTCTTGCTAGAACAAGAACTGTTCAATAATTCTCCTTTCCTGTGCCTTGAGCCAGTTCAGTTTGGAGGCTCCAAAGTCCTCCAGGTGGCTGCAGTACCACAGGAATTAAACAAACATTTCCACAGGATTCCCCTTTGAACATGAGTCAAATTCAAAGCTGAGAATGAATAGAAAGGTGTATTCTCCTGGAGCCAGCTGGAAATTGAATTGAAAGTAGCAAAAAGGGTGGTTTGGTGTGGGCTTTGTTTTTTTTCCTCTATTTGTTGTGGGTTTTCTTTTTTTCCCCTCTCTGCAGTTAAAGATCTACTGGATGATAATATTTCTTTAATATTTAGAACTCTTCTGAAGAAGAAATATTTTTTTAGGTTTTAGTCCTTTATTCCATTGAAAGTGAGCACAAATTTCCATTGTCCTTGAGGACAACCTGATACAGCATCAGGCCCAAAAGGATCAGGCTCTTATCAAATAATGATTAATCCTGCCTGGAGCAAGATGCCAGTTTGTTCTTTTCCATTTTTTGTCTTTAACTTGCTGTCTCGCACTCTGTATCAAGTGACCTGTAATGTTTTCAGGCTGTCACTTTCTCAGTGTTTGTTTGTGTTGGTGGCAGAGGATTTGAAAACCTCCACCGAATGTGTCACTCCTGCATTTGTAAATGAGCATAAACTTCCTTTCCTGTGCTGTGGAAGTTGTATGAAATATTCACCTCAGCATTAGAGTGGAAAATTTCCTTTTTCCTTAAAAAGTTTTCCTTTTTTCTTAAAATTTCATTTTTTTTTTCTTTTTCATTTAAAAGCTTACTTAAATGTTTTAGGTCTTGTTTGCTCTGTGGGCTTCCTGTAATGCAGATGGACTCAAAGGTGAATTTTTTGAGCCTAAAAAAGCAAAGTTGTTTTTGAAGCAGGAAAAGGGATTTTTGGGTCCAGTTGCATGAAATGCAGAGAGGCTGTTTTGTATGGAGTGATATTTTTTATCTGGTAGACACTTTTATCAGTGGGGACTGCTTCCCTCATGTTTGTGTAAATGCAGCTCTTTGAATAAGGAATTAAATCCTAAAGTCCATTATAAATGCACTTTGAGGACAAGGGTTTATTGCAGTTCCAGGCAGTGTTTAAGCAGATGTGAGTAACTCATCAGGTGGCAGGATGAGAGATGGGTTTGGTGAAACAGCAGTGAAATAAATTGTCCTTTCGTATCAGCACTGCTATTGATTGATGGCTGCTGTGTGCCCTCAGGGCAGCATCCACAAAGTGAAAATCTCCCCAAAATGAGGAGGCACATTAAATGATCAGCAAACTGAGCACTTTTTATTTAATCCCGGTGCCCACCACTCTGGGCTCCAGGATTTTGTGAGATTGATGCCTTGCCCCAGACAGGACAGGAACATCAGTTCTATTTCCTTCATACCAAGCAGCTTTTCCCAAGTGCATTCAGCATCCTGAGTACAAATGGACCTGCAAGACCCTTCCTTCTCCCTAATATTTGTTTATTACTTGCTACAAAGGGAGTTTCAGGCTCTGTGACTCAGGAGTGGTTTTTGTGGTGGCTTTTTTGAAGTGTCCCTGGAATGCAGCAGGTCATTTGCTGCAGTAATACAACTCAACGAATCTACAATACATAAATAAATACATAATAAACATCTGATTTACCATGAAATACAGTGCATAGGCAGGCTAAATTCCCAGCTTTCAAACCCATAAATTGTGTTTGTAATTCAAGAGTGGTTTAAAAGAAAGGCTCTATTTATTCATTGTTCTCTCTGGTTATTTGTCTGGGAATACACTTCATCCCTTCTGCCTAAAAAGTAACAGTTCTTTAATGCAGCCTGAAAGATAACAGTTTCCAGCTAGCAGGAAGCTGGGAAAAAAATAAAGAATAATGAGCAAGAAGTATTTTCTTCAGCGAAATTTCCCAAGAGGTGGTACCAAAAGTGAAACACTGTCCTTATTAACAGGCTATATACAGCAAAACCTTCCTCCCCCTGCCCAAACCCAAAACACAAACCTTTTGTGAGCTCCCAGTTCTCATCCTAGTGTACACAATGGATTTTAATCATTATCCTGAACAAATCAGGAATTAGGGGTGGGCTAGGAAAGGATGCAGGTGCTGGAATTCACACAGGAGCAGTAACTCAGTTTATTTACCTGGGGTTAATGCTGCTAGATAAGTGCTTTGTTCATGGTGTAAAACACAAGGATGGCAGTTCTCTTGGAAGCTCCCCAAAACGTGCAAAAATAAATAATAATAAAAGAAATTAAATTGAGTTCAAGTACACTATGTTGGCAAGGGTAGAAATAACTGCCCAGCTGGAGTTGGGATTTTGTTCTGACCTTGCTGTTTCTCTCTTGAGGTGGCTCTTTGTGTCATCACTGGATGCCACATTTCAGGGTAGAGATGCCATTGATTAGGGAATATTTTCAAAAGTTATAGTGGAGAACATGGTCCAGAGGAAAGCATGAAGTTAAATTCCCTCATCTTGAAAGGAACAGGATTTAAAAGGTTTCTTTAGGTTTTTTTTCTGTTTTATATTCAGTGCTGGTAGCAGTGAGTCCAACTGAGAAATGTCATTATTTCAAGGCATTATCTTTGGAAGTTTGTAATATTTAAATGAGGATTTTGAATCCGTATTCCACTCTGAAAGCAAAGCCTGGTTTGGGATTTGGGCTGAGGCAGAGCTGAAGCTGTTGAGGATCTCTTGTGGAGCTCTGCCTTCATTACCTGGCTGTGCCCAGGCCAGCAGAGACCCTGCACGGGTGATGTGTGCAGGTTCCAGCTGCCAACATCTGCACTCAGACCTTCCTGAAACTCTTGTGTTAGAACGAACCTGACTTCTCCAACACCTCCAAGTTTTCTTTCGCATGTATCACCTTTCCCGTATATCACCTTAGCCTCATCATTCTGTTTGCTCCTATATCCCATTAAGATAATTTGATAATTGGAATCCGTGTTTGTCTTAATTGTGATTCCTGATTGATCAGCGCATTATTGCAGCTTCATTTGGTGTGATGCTGCTGGAGTCAATTACAGCTCATTCCCTTCCCCAGGTTCAGGTTTGCTTGCCTGGCACGTGCAGGAAAGCCCAGGCTGATGGAGCTGCTGATCCTGTCAGAACGCAGAGCAAGGTGTAAGGAACCTCCAGGAAGGAGTTGCAGCTGTGGGAGCGTGTCCCTGCAGTTGATTTTCCCACATTTGTGATTTCTTTGCAGTGTAATGCCATAATGCCACCCACCCTCTGCAGCGCCTCCTTCCACCAACCATGTCTTGCAGGCAGTCTGCAGAGTCTTTCCAAGCCAGGCATTTTTATTTTGTTATTTAATTACATTTTGTCCTTATGTACTACACTGGGTGTAATTCTCACAGTCTCTATTAAAATCTGTCAAAAATTTCTACCCAGAAACTCTGAAACCTTTCAGCATGTCTCATTCAAGGTCCTGCTATTAAGAAGAGAAATTCAGGTTTTTTACTAGATTCAGGCTCTTGTATGAACAGTTCTTACAGACTTACCTTAGAAAGAATTTTTGTTAAAAAGTCTAAAGGATTGTGCTCACATGATGATGTGCCAGATCACTGATTTTTGTCTTCCTTGATCCAGAAAGATTGCTGTTGCAACAAAACAATAATTGGTCTGCCCTGGGCTGTGGTTTCTCTTTTAGAGAAACCAATCTTTTAGAAACCAATCTCCCAAACAGACAACATTTGTTTTCCTGGGTGTGTTTTTTGTAAAAACAGTGATGCAGCTTTGTTTTTGTGTGTGTACTTCAGCTCTGGGTCCCTATCAGGAATAACCTGAACGAGGTGCCAGTGTTTATTCTGCTATCCAAATATTGATGGACAGGAGCAGGAAACCAGTCCCAAACTGTCCACTCAAGGGCCATTTAATAATGATTCCTTTTTATTACCCAGAGCAGTAATTAAGTGATACCAAGGAGCTTTTCATTGGTACTGTTAAATTTGGTGAGTAAGCACTGCAAAACAATTTGGTTGGTAAGCACTGCAAAACAATTTGGTTAGTAAGCACTGCAAAACAATTTGGTTAATAAGCACTGCAAAACAATTTGGTGAGTAAGCACTGCAAAACAATTTGGTTGGTAAGCACTGCAAAACAATTTGGTTGGTAAGCACTGCAAAACAATTTGGTGAGTAAGCACTGCAAAACAATTTGGTTAATAAGCACTGCAAAACAATTTGGTGAGTAAGCACTGCAAAACAATTTGGTTAATAAGCACTGCAAAACAATTTGGTGAGTAAGCACTGCAAAACAATTTGGTGAGTAAGCACTGCAAAACAATTTGGTTGGTAAGCACTGCAAAACAATTTGGTTGGTAAGCACTGCAAAACAATTTGGTGAGTAAGCACTGCAAAACAATTTGGTTAATAAGCACTGCAAAACAATTTGGTGAGTAAGCACTGCAAAACAATTTGGTGAGTAAGCACTGCAAAACAATTTGGTTGGTAAGCACTGCAAAACAATTTGGTTAATAAGCACTGCAAAACAATTTGGTTGGTAAGCACTGCAAAACAATTTGGTGAGTAAGCACTGCAAAACAATTTGGTGAGTAAGCACTGCAGAGCTCCTGTGCCTGGGCAGTTTTTGGTGGTTTTGCAGCCAGCAGCAATCCCTGGGCAGGCAGCTCCCCTTGGCAATCCCCCTGTCCAAGCCCAGCACATTTCTGTCCCTGTCCCATCCCCATCCTCTGCTCAGTGCTTCACTGCCACCCTGCAGGAATTCAATTTTCTGCCCTTGTTTAATGCCATCTCTTCCCCATTATTTCCACGGGGATAACAATGTATTTAAATGTGTTATCCTCCAAGGAACACCCAGGAAGGATCTCCCTTTTACATGCACACTGATTGCTCAATCTGCTGTATTTTACCTGAATTTCTGTAGATTAACTTCCAGATAATCTGAGCTGGCTGTTCCTAACGATTTATGGCTGGGGAAGATTATTTTGCTGGAAGTTCAGCTGACATATTTTGCAGTTGCAAGGCAAATTTGGGAAGGCCTGGGGGATCGCAGGCAGCCTCATTATTGGTGCATGACCGCTTTGTAGCCAGCTGCATCTTTAATATCCAGGGAGATTTGTGCATTACAGTTTGTTTTCTTTCTTCTTGTTTTTAATAATTTACCTTCGAGAGTCTATTTACAACCGTGTCGATGTGTGAATATGTTTGTCTGTCAAAACTTAAGATATGTGCAGAATGCAAGAGATGCATTAATTTTTTATTTGCTTCTTAAGGAAGCCAAGCTGTAAACTGGCAGTGCTGAGTGCCAGAGCTGCACTTCAGTGAATCCTAATAAACACAAGGGGGAACATCAAACTGTGTGCTCCTTCAACTAACTCACTTAAAAAGAGATAATATTCCTTGCTGAATCTCTTTGCTCTGCTAGGAGAGACAATAATTCAGTTTTGGTTTTATTATAACAAAGCAAACCCACACTCAAACTTTCTCTAACTTTTAATTTGCTGTTGAATTAGCAAAACTGCTTGCCCTTATGCACCAACCAAAATAACAGAGGGTCATGAAAAGCCCATCAATAAAAGGGTTTTATGCATTTAAATATTTGTCTGCTGAGATTTACTCGAAAATTATTTCCCTTTTTGCATGCACTTACATGTTTTCAGAAGACAGCATCTACATGAGTACTTTTCAAAATGTGCTCTAAAGCTGTTGAGAAGGCTTTTATTCTTACCAGAGGATTGCTTCTTTGCCCAATTTCTAGCTGTTAGATTAGTTTAGTTTTAATTGGAGAATAAATTTAGTTGTCCAGTAGATCCCTATGAGGAGTAGTAAGTTCTTTGTCACTGTATTGCAGTATCAAAACTGCTGATTTTTATTCCCTCTTTTAAAAGCAATTACAGAACTATTTTTTTTTTTTTTTAATTTTCAAACTGATCTTTACCTTTTGAAGTAATTCAGCCTGTAAAACTACACAGAAAGGGGATCACTGGCATTTGAGAGTTGAAACAAAACCCCTGCTAATCTGGAGTAGCACTGTCCTGTGTTAGAAGAAATCCACTGCAACTCAAATGTTTGGAAGAGAAAAGGTCTGGGGGAATATGAAAGCATGCCATGAGAGAGAAAAATAACTCATTGTCAGTAGAGCTGTAGGAAATGAATCTGAAAGGATTGATACAGTTCAGGCAGAGCAGATGCTGTATAAACCACTGTACACCTGAGTCAAAATTCTCTTTATTTACGTTCATCATCCATCAGCTTTGAGAAACTCTGATCAAATTTGTTAGCAATATTAATTTAAATATAAAGCATGCTTATAAATATAGATGGAAATAGATTTCTTTTGCTTTCTGCTCTGACTCTGATAGCAGGTGGGAGGTTGTTCTTGCCAATGATTTATTTCCAGCTTTCAGCTAACTCTGACTAAATGCGTAGCAGTAAATGACATAACAAATATGGAATGGGTAAGAGTCCAGCTCCTGATGGAGGGGAGCAACAAGCAAGTCCATTCCAGGAGGTGGATGGGTGTACATAGATAAAAAGGGCTCCTCTCACACAGAGTTATCAATATTTTCTTATCTTGCTGTTCTTCAGGAAGATTAAGCCTTTCTTTTGAATGCCTTTTGGGTTTTTTTTTTAAATCACCATTGGTATCCATTCTGTTTTATGAAGGGCTGTCTGAATCTTCCTTCAGATAGAACTCATAGAGTTTGGCTCAAGGAGAATTTCCAGATAAAATTTAACTTTAGAGCTTGTTTAGTTCAGTCTGCTGGTAGAAAATGTGATGGAACCTGTGATGTGATCACAGAATGTCAGTGGCTGCTGAGCTACCAGTGCAACCATGACATTTCATATTTGCTTTCTCTGTGAGACTGGGGGCATCTCCTCCCGTTCCAGCAGTAAAATGAAATTTCTGTCAGGTGGGATTGAATGCGCAGTGACAGAACTGTCCAAAACCAAAAGGGACAAGACATTGGCTTTGCCCTTTAGTTGTCTTTTTTTTTTCTGGCAGAAAAGGTGTTTGTGGTGTTTGTGCTGCAGCTGGCTCTGTGCTGGGGCAGTGAGTGCCGGTCCTGGTGCAGTTTTCCTGGTGCAGTTTTCTTGGTGCATTTCTTGGTGTATTTCTTGGTGCAGTTTTCTTGGTGCATTTCCAGGTGAAGTTTTTTATGGTGCAGTGTTCTTGGCGCAGTTTTTTTATGGTGCAGTTTTCCTGGTGCAGTTTTCCTGGTTCATTTCTTGGTGCAGTTTTCCTGGTACAATTTTCCCAGTGCAGTTCTTGGTGCACTTTTCCTGGTACAATTTTCCCAGTGCAGTTCTTGGCGCACTTTTCTTGGTGCACTTTTCTTGGTGCAGTTTTCTTGGTGCATTTCTTGGTGCAGTGTTCTTGGTGCAGTTCCTGGTGCATTTCCTGGTGCATTTTGGAGTGAGGCTCTGGGTGCCAGCAGAGTCTCAGTAAAACAGGGCTGAAATGTGGTGTTTGACCTCAGGAAAGCCCTGAAATGCCACACTGAAAGATGCTGCCCCTTGCTTGAATGAATATTTTGTATTTGGAAGCATTTGGGATTCTTGGATTTTTAATTTGCTCTATATAGCAAATATATAACCCATTACCTCAGAGACCTCAGGTATAACCTGTTACTTCAGAGATCTTTTAGTCATAACCTAAAAATTCAGCTATTTTCCATTGCTTCTCCTGTGTTTTCTGCATTTTAGACATCCACACTGGCTATATCAACAAAAATATTTGATGAGTTATATTTAAATTTTAGCACCTGAGTTTCAACCACTTGTAATTGAATTTCCATCACAGTGGACACTTGGCTTCCTCCCCATTCATCCCTCCTAAGAGCATGGCACAATATTAATATGGCAATCTTAATAGGGAAAAATACAAACATTGCTGCTGGAAAAAAAATATTTTTTTCCTTATCATAAATACAAAGCTATTTCAGTTCCTCATTGCTCTGATCAGTAATTCTCACATGTACAAATACTGTGGTGCATTATGTTCTCTCCAAGATTCCTGAGCGTGCTCCAAGTGTTGGGTCAAGTCCCTGGTTCCTTCTCCTCTTATTTCATTTCAAACCAGGTTATTTTGGTTCTCCTCAGTGCACACACACTCACATTCCTTTGCTCTGATGCAGGAGGCATTAAAAGAAAACAACAAAAGGAGAGAATTGGAGGAGAAGACCAAGAGGGCCAAGCTGGCCAAGGAGAAGGCGGAGCGGGAGAGGCTGGAGAGACAGAAGAAGAAGCAGCAGCTGATTGATATGAACAAAGGTAAGGCAGCAATTTTAGCTGAGAGATTATCATTAAAAAAGGCAAAACCAAGTCAGGAGTAATAAACTGAAGGCTGTTTCTGATCAATATGAGAAATACTTGCTGGCTGTTCTGAAAGCTGGAGAAAGTTCACTTTTCAAAGTGGAAAATTCTGTTTAGTTTCAGCCTACCTGGTCATGTCATCCCATTTCTGCCACTTAATGTGTGTAATGTTCCTTTCCAGGCGTGGTGTTGGGAATTATTGGCTTTTTTGCATTTGTAGTACTTAATTGATTTTTTTTTTCCTTATGGATTGACTTCCAAGAAGAAGCGCCTTCCTTGCTTTGTTGTTCATTTCATCCTGTAAACATCTCTATAATCAAGGCATTGTGACAATTAATGTCTTTCTTTTTGGGCTTGGGGGTCTGTGCTAGGATGGATGTTCTCCCTGTAGTCCTATTAGGAGCTGGAAAATCTAGTTGAGCTGGGAGCCTGAGCACAGAGTGACATTTCAGCACAATAAAAAGCAATGTGTTGAGCTCGTCAGCTGGGGGAATGTTGTATTCCACATGAGACCTCTGTGACAGAGAGGGAGGTAAGAAAGCAGGAGGAATGGGGTGGGTTTGATGTTGATGCTGTGCAGATTTCCAGAAGGTTGTAAAACAGAGGCTTTATTCTTACCTGACTCCAGAAGGCAAGGAGAGGTAAAATTGGATTTAGGCAAGAGATCACTCGCAGTTTTTTGTTCCGTTTCTATGTGTTTGTGTTAATCTGCTAATCTGACCCAGCAATAAAAACACCTGTCCTTGTTATCCATTTAACAGGCCCTGCTCAGGGAGAAATGCTGCAGTGGCACCACAAATCCTGTCATCTTTGGCCTTGCTGCAACTGGCACTGCCTGGAATGTTCTGTAGAAATTCTTGTCTATAGATGACAAACTTTATTATCAGATCATGTCAAGATTAGTCTCATTTCAGTTGAAGTCCTATTATATTAGTCTAATTTCAGTATAGCTATAAACAAAAAGTAAAATTTAAACACAGGGTGATGCATAAATACATTTTCTTTTCTCTGTGAAGTTAAACCAGTGAAGGTTTCTAATGAGAATTTTCTAATCCATTCTTTCAGGATATGATTAATATTTTTTTTTTAAATATGCCACCTGCCACAAAAATGCCACCTGCCACAAAAATGCCACCTGCCACAAAAATGCCACAAAAGAATAGAAGAAAAGGTTCCATCAGAAGGCTGGCTAAGAATACAATGGAAGGAATGATAACAAAGGCTCTGTCTTGGACTCTCTGTCCGAGCCAGCTGGCTGTGATTGGCCATTAATTACAAACAAACCAACATGAGGCCAATCCCAGATGCACCTGTTGCATTCCACAGCAGCAGATAACCATTGTTTGCATTTTGTTCCTGAGGCCTCCCAGCTTCTCAGGAGGAAGAACCTTAAGGAAAGGATTTTCCATAAAAGATGTCTGCGACATACACCTTCATTTTTCTGCATTTTCCCCTTTCCAAGGTGAGGGGACACCACTCTGAGCAGTGGCACAAATCACACTGACAGCACTCTGCTTTCCATCAAGAAAGTCTTTTCCTATTAAATGATACAAGTAAAGTTCCATTTTGCATTGTCGTCCTCTCTCAATGAAAATGCAAATGTATGAATGTCTTTACATGGCCCAGTGCACCAAACCTGCCATTTAAATAACTAATGTTTGGAAACCTGTGACACAAAGTTAGTTTAATACTTCTAAAAATTTTTTTTCCAATTTGTAAATATTTTAAAACACCCATTTCACATATTACAGCTCTGCTGCTGTGATGGGAGGAGGGCTAAACCTCCATCCCCAGTGGATTCCATCACATTGATATTCAATTGACTATTTTTGCCAAATAACTAATTTTTTTCTTGATGCAGCTACCTCTGTGTGCTCATTGCTGCTTATATAAACAGTTTGTAAATTTGTCTAAGTGAATGTGACACAGCAGGCTTAGAGGAAGGAGGCAGATGTCCTCTCAAGCTGTCACTTGGACAAGGTGATTTTCACCCAAAGGCTCATTTTAACCTCACCCTCTCTCAGCTCTTGCTCTGCATCTCCCAGAGTCAAATTTGACTCAGAGCTGCAGCCTTGGAGGTCGCAGCAATTGCCTTCCTGCGTTTGCCAGCTTCTTGTGCAGTTCTGTAAAAAGGAGTTTTCCTGTTTTCTGACTGCTCAGTGAGCACTTTTTGTGTGGTCACAGATTAGGTTAGTTATAATTAATTAGCTGAAAATTAATATCTGTTTCTTGGTGTGAGTGTAGAAAAGCACAGTGTGGCCAGAATCAAGAGTTGTTCTGAATATTTCCTAGTGATGAAGGAACTTGGGCTTTGGCAGTGTTTAGAAGATCACTTTAATCAGTTTGGTGGTTTTGTGCTTTGTGAACTGAGCTGCCACATAAACACTACATGTAAACCGATAAAAAACCTGCTGAACATTCCAAAATATTTAAAGATGAATGCAAAAAAATAATTAAAAAAACCACTATAAAAATGAATATTTCAAAAAGTTATCAAGCTGGTTAGCACTGGAAAGCCCAGGTTTCCAGGTGAGGTTGGGAGGCACAGAGAGGTTTGTGCCTCATGCACACACCTGCCGATCTGGAGTGTGACAGCTCAAATCATGAACAATTTTCTCCTTATGGGAGATGAATTGGGAGGAGAAGCCTTTCATAGCTCCCATCTGATTCACATCTGCAGAATTCCTGCAGCATTGCCTCTGTGTGCATGGTGAAGGGAGAGGGGAGAATTGGAGAATTGGAGAATTCACCTTCCTGGAGCTGCAGAGTGTGACTGCAATTCTGATGCAAATGTTATTTAATCAGAAACAGTTTTGCTCTTCATTATATCTGATTACCATGGCAATTAAAATCACCTTTTAACTAGCAGCATTTGGATAAAAGACAGAATGAGCTTTCTCAGTCCCAATTAGGGCTGAATTAATTGTTTTGAAGACATATTACCATTCTCCCCTAATGCAGCTGAAGGTAATGCCAGTGCAGTTCTGTGCTGGAGCTTGATGGATATTCCTGTTTTCCCTTTCCAAGTGCCCCCATAGCAGAATTCATGGGTTTTTCATTCAGACTGGTGTGTTCTTTTTCCTTGGGCTGGTGTTTGATTTCTCTGGGGCAGGATATCATTCCAGGGGTTGCTTTTGCTGCAGTTTTCTGATGATTCTGTGCTTTTGTGGTTGGTTTGTCTTCCTTCCACGTCCTTTAGCATAAACAGAAATCCATACTAAGCTTATTACGAGTTACACGTTATTTTGTAAATGTCTTTTTGGATTTGTCTATTTGCTGGTGATTGCACGGGCTACCTGGAGTGGTAAATCTTGGCTCTTATTTACATTTTAAAGATTATTAGTTTGTGGTGCTGGATGTCAATGAGGCAAACGTTGAAATTCCTTTGGGAAGTCATTATTTCTCATATTGACATTGATGGTCTGTTTGAATATGCTGCACGCCTCCTGAAACCTGAAATTCACAGAACAAAAACCAGATTGAGCTTTGCATTATGCTCCAAGGTGAGCATCTACAGGTTTGAGTTTTCCTCTTCAAAGCAGTTCTGCAGGAATTGCTAAAAAACTTTGCAAGAGCTGTTTGTGCAGAGTTTAAAGGGGTCCTCAGAATGGGGCGAGTGTCAGAGTTACTGAGCTGCTGCTAAATGGGCCAGAACCAGCTCAGGAGAAATGCAAATGGATGTGAGCATGGACAGGAAGTTAGAAAGAAATTACAGCTTGAGATTTAATCTCACCTTTAAACGCTTTGCTCTGGAAAAATTTGGTTTTGATATTGAAGATGGCCCATATGGTACCTTCTGATTGAGTTTATTGGGGGGAAAAATTATTAGACTGACAAGTCTGTGACTGGGATAAGTGCAGTAGAAGGAAGAGAAATTGGATTATTTTCTCTTACAAGTAGGTTTCTTGGGGACTGTTTACTGAGCAGTAACAAGTAGTAACTTCAGGGAGTTTTCTATGCAAATTCAACTGTTCCTCAGTGAAATTATTTGTGTTGCAAAAAGCAGGTACTGTTATTAATGGTGAAAGTAGCCTTAATTTTGTTTATATCAGTGTAACTGCTGTAAAACAGTTGATATTTTTGTAGAACTTACAATGTTAAAAAGCATTTCAGAAATAATTATTGATCAGCCTTACTGTAAGGCTGGTTCAGGAATCAGGGTGGGCTGGGGAGCAGAATCACCCCTGGCTCTGTGTAAGGGCTGCTCAGTGATAAGAAATCCTCCTGAATTATCAACAGATTCCAGTTCCAAAACAGCCCCCACAGCTGCTGTGAGGAAAATCAACTCTATCCCAGTCAAAACCATCATTAGTATTAAAAAAAATAAAGTAAAAAGTCATTGAGAATGTGTAAGAACTCCCCTTTCCTTGAAATGTGTTCCCAAAACTCTTTTTTTTTCCTAATGTGTTAGAGTTGTTCAACAATAAGGAACTTTTAAAAGGAAATTATTAACAATGATAAGAGTATTGATGATTTGTTCTGCCTTTTCATCACAGAAATTTCAAGTACCTCAGTACTGTAGCTTAAATGCAGCCTTGGAGCTGCACAGAACTTTATTTACAGGTGCAATTACTGAGCTATCACATGGGATTTCTTGGGGTGGGTTTTTTTGGTGAGCTGCACAATCTTTCCCTTCCCACACAGAGGCAATCTCTTCCCATTTCTCCAGATAATTCACATTGCAGCCTGTTTGAGCTGTGGTCCTTGCAGGACCAGGGGCTGTGTGGGGGCATCTCAGTGAGGCCACAGCAGACCTTGACCATTGGGACATTTTCTCCCAAAAAATTAAAAAATGTGCATTTCAAACATTGTTTTCAATCGCCTGCAAAAAAAAAAACAAAGCAGATTTTTTTTTTCTATTAATTTATTTAAGCCTGAGGTCAGGTTATCACCAACAATATTCTTAATTGGTGTGTGAGCAAGGCTTTGCCTTGTTTTGTGCACTGACATGAGCTGGGGGTTCACTTCCCAGTCACACTGTCCTAACTTGTTCTCCCCTAATTAAAAAGTAAATAAGAGGCACGAGACACCACTCTGCTGCAAGCTGCAGAGCAGCGCTGCTTCCTGGAGAGATTTATTATGCATGCACAGTGAATTTAGCAAATGAATAAAATGCAAATATATGAGGAGAACACAAAAACACGCTTTCCCAAAGACATTGAGAGCTGACCTTTATAAGTGAATATATTGCAATTAAAAATTCTGGTGCTGGTTATGAATAAAAAGTCTTGTTTAAAAGTTTCTACAGGACACCCATTAGACTTTGAAAAGTGCATTAAAGTTCAAAGCCAAACAGGGCAGTGCAAGATGTGAATAGAAGCACAATTTTAAAACCCTTTGGAGAGCAGCAGGAGGCAGCATGTGTTACCTAATGAGATATTTGACTGAACTCTTTCAGTAAGAGCCTAAATTTTTGAAAAAATTCCTGTAAAATTCCTGTAAACCTTTACCCAAATGGCTGTGCAATATCTACATTTCTTATTAATTTAGATCAGTTTGCAGTCTGTATATTTGTAATAACGAGTACAAGATGCTTTGCAAGTGCACATGGAAAATACTAGAAAATAAAAATATGCCAGCAAGATATGTTTGTAAATATGTACAGGTAGTGCTGTAGCCATCAGAGCAGACTGATTACTGAAGGGATTGATTATTGATTAAGGAGGGAGGGCAGCAGAGCCCCCCAGGAGCAGCAGCACCTTCCCAGCTCTGAGCTGAGGGCAGCGGATCCATGGAGCTGCACCATGGGCTGAGCTCTGGGGAGATTCTGCAGCCCCCAGCTATCCCAGCCGCTGGCACCTGCTGAAATATCCCCCAAAGTTCCATTTGGAACCCTTTTGGTCACTATTTCTGCCTGACAAAGCCCAGCAGGGCCAGGCTGGGTTCGGGGGCTGGCAGTGCCACCCTGGGGCTGTGCTGCACTCAGAAGGTTTTGGGTTTTTATTTTTGCTTTTCTGGCACTGCCCAGGTCCCAGAGCACAGCAGGAGCTTGTCCTGCATCCTTCCAGGGGCTGCTGAGTGTGGCTGAAGGAACTGTGCTGCCGGAGGCGCTGTGTGCTGGATGCACCCCCTGTTACGTCAAAGGCTGTTCAGGGGTGATTTCTGTCGCTGCTGTGATCAGGCTGGAGCTGCTCCTGGAACCACAGGATCTGGGCTTTTGTTGCTGTTTCTTTGGTCACCTCTGCAGATTGGGGCTCTTGGGCATTCCCTGTTGAAGAGCTCCTGTGAAGTTACAAACATTAATTCAGTTATTCTATATCTTCTGCACGTTGGGTCTCTTCAGCTGTGCAAGGAGCAAGAATATTGTAATATGGATGAAGAAAATTATTTTGTCTTTATAATACATTAAAAGTGGCCCAAATCTGCTGAGCAGCACTGGTGTGAGCCCTGGTTCCTGCAGGAGCATTTCTGAAACTCCCAAAAACACACTGAGTGTGGGGCTCCAAAACAGAGGGAACAGAATTGGTGTCAAACCCAAACCCAGACAATTGGGGCTCATAGTTAACACTTCAATTCATCACTGAGAATCCTTTTGCAGTCTCTTTAACACCTGGTGTCAATCTGGCCCTTTCTAAGGCAAATCAAAGAAATTACCAATTTTTTTTTTGCATGTCTCCACACATTTTCTCTCTTTTAAATGCTTGGGGCCAACTTGGAGCAGAAACAATGAGGAAGAAAATTACTTGTTCCAGATGAAACTCCCGTCCTTGTGTACAGTGAAAGACATCTAAAAGACAAATAATGATTATGTGTTTTATTTCTGCTGACAGGAATGTTGGTAACAAGTTTTTAGTTTTCAAACTTCTGGCAATTTCTGTCTTTGTTTTTTATTTGTGTCTATAAATTGCTGTGGGTGGTATGGAAATGACAAATGGAGGAGGTTGCTGGTGCTGTGTGAAGAACTGCAGCAAGAAATATAGGAAAAGACTGACATTCCTGTTGAATTTTATTTATCAATTTTAATCAGGGCTCCCTGAAAATGCAGTTCTTTGTCCAGTTATCACTTAACCACCTGAAGACTTTGATTCGGATGCACTGCTGAGATCAGCCCTTGCATGAATTTTACTTTGAGGAGTTACAAATCTCATCACTCTGTCCTGCAGCCTCCTCAGTAATGTGTTTTATGTTGCACATGCTGGCATCCCAAAGCCAGGCTGGCTTTTGGCACTTGCAGTAATTAGCAGGTAGAGCAGCTCACTCAGCAAAAAAAATGGAAGGCTGCATAAACATTCATGAAGTATTGAAGGGTTTTTGTCTTTTTTAATAAACTCTGCCAGCTCTTACTTTTAATGAAGATCGAAGAATATTGTAATTTTTCTACACATTAAATATTCCAGATATTAACTAGTTCTGGGTGTGCAGTCACTGCCATTAAGTGTTTCAGACCAACTTGATGTGTATTAATTTGGACTAAGTGTATTCACAGACCTTTGATTTTGAAGGTAAATTTAATACAGAGCCAACAGCAAATCAATGAATAAGCATGGGTAGGATAAGAAGCACAAAGAAAAACAATTATGCTGTACAGTTTAGAGAAAATTCTGGCTTTGGATGGGAGTGGGAATTGAGAAAAGCTAATTTGCTTATTTGTTTTGCAGGAGCTCAGTTGTTTAAGGCTTTTAGATGGAATGTAATTAAAACTGGTATTTCAGTCCTGTGCTGGTTCCTGCACTTGCTCTGCTCCCTTTCTCCTACCCTGGGTGTGTTGTGTAGTGTGTGCAGAATGGTGTCAGTTTAGGTGGATATATAATTTAAAGGTATCCAGTAGTTATTCTAATGATCAGCTTGTAGAAATTTGAACCAGGTTCTGTTTTAGGTGTGCTCTTACACCAGGTGTGGATTGAGTCTAATAAATCTGAATGTAACAGAGAACAGGACAGAACAGCTTATTCATTAACAGGCTGCTTTTAAACTTGAGCATTTGAGAGCCTGAATGTGCATCTAACCTCCCACACCTCGTGTGAGTCAGAAGGTTTTACCATAATGTAATTTTTTTGCATAAAGTAATGATCTTCCCTTTCCCAGATGGGGAAATTTGTGAGTTTGGAGTCTGAGAGATGTGGATGAAATGTCCACCTCCCTGCTGAGCCTAACCTGTATTTTAGTTTTGGGTTATAGCACAGATATGGGAACACAAAGAGGCATTCATCAGTAGTTTTGTAACCTTACAGTTCTTTGACCTCTATTTCTCATACTGCTGAATACTGCTGTGAACTGTTATTAACAGACTGAAATGCAAAGGAATGTAAAGACTCAAATATATAAAAAGAAGTAATTTTTCCACCCAGATTTCCATAATGCACCATAAAGTCCAGCAATTTAAAGGCTGTGAGTTAGCTCGGATATGGAAAAAAGCAAAATAAAAAATTGAGCAGAAGTAAAATTCAGCTGTTAAGAAGTGTTACACCACTGACTTCCACTGCATGATTATCCCCTCTTCATTCTCTTTATGTCACCTGAAGACCATCCATGCTATTGATTGTATAGATGATTTTTCCACAGATCTAGTGAGTCGTGAAGTCAGGAGGCATCACATAAAATATTTTCTGTGAGCTGCAATATTGAACTCTCTGCTGCTCAGCGCCATCAGATGCATTGATTAAATTGACCTGGTTGCACTTCAGAAAAGCTTCCAGCCATCCCAGCAGTGAGGCAGCCATCACTCGCTCAGCAGCTGCTGCCCCTCTGCATGCTGAGGATGCCGTCAATAATGCACAGGTGACGTCTCCAGGCTGAAGGAAGGGTTGGCATCACCTTTGCCTGGTGGGCATCGCCCACAGCAGACAGTGCGCGCTGCCCTGAGATGTGCCTGCCTCTTCTTTGGCAGCATTACGGAAACAGGACAGCATTTGGACTTCTATTGCCTTCTAAATCTACTTGCACTGGTAATGGTGGAATTTTCTTGCTGAAAGAACAGTAGGGTTGGCATCACCTTTGCCTGGTGGGCATCGCCCACAACAGAGAGTGCCCCCTGCCCTGCCAGCAGTCTTGCTCTGAGATGTGCCTGTCTCCTCTTTGGCAGCATTCTAAGCCCTCTGATGTTGACGTTCTTGTAGCGAACTTTCTCACACGCTTTCTGTAAATAACTCATTGTTTTCCATTCCTTTATGGAGGAGGAGAAAGTTTGCCAAACTTTGCAAAAAAAACCCCCAAAAAAACCAAGCAAAAAACCCCACCCCTACGTGTGTTCCCTGTGGCTTTAGGTGAGTGGGTTGGACCTGGGAGGGATTAATTAATTTGGGTAATGGAGCTTCAGTTGATGGGCTGTTGATCTGTCCAGTGTCATTGGAGAGGTGGCACTGTCACCCTCCAATCCGCTGCCACTTTTGGAAAACTGTAAATGTTGGAGTCAGGAAATAAACTCCCCTTTTCCTTCACCTTGAGAACAGCGGTGTGCGCTTGTGTTCCTTCGTGTCCCGTAGCGACACTCTTGGACTTCTGTTTCCTCCTAAAGCTGCTGGCAGCCGTGCTGATGGAGTTTTGTTTTCCTGCTCCCCACAGAGGGTGACGAGACAGGGGTGATGGACAGCCTGCTGGAGGCCCTGCAGTCGGGAGCAGCGTTCAGGGACCGCAGGAAACGAACGCCGCGAGCGCAAGGTAAGGGAGATCCTGCGAACTTTGGGCTAAAATGAGCAGCTTCAGCTGAGCTGCACACAGAGCAGCCTCAGCTGGGCTGCAAACACAACAATCTGAAGTTCTTTGGCAAAGACTTGCCAGCGGTTTTCACCGTGCTGCTGTTGGGCACTGAGCTCCTGTGAAAGCCCAGCACATCACAGATTTTTAACCTGCTGCTCCAGCTCCAAGTGCACCAAGGGCTCCTGTTGTCTTTGTAATGGTATTTAAACCCCCCTGCACTGAGTGTGCTTCATTCTTACAGCTGTAAGTGTCATTAATTCATTGTAGGTGGTGCCATGAGGAGTATTAGCTCCTTAACAAATAAGATTTGAGTGGTCAGCTGATCATCATTTCCAAGCACTGCTCTTGGGTGTGTTGTGCTCTGGTAGGAACTTCCAGTTATGGAGTCTTAAAAGTAGAAATGCATTGAGATAGTAATGTATTATATTTAAATAAATATCTATATTTACTTCAAAGTAAAAATGCATTAACATAGCTTCGTTTTCCTGAGGAAGACAATGGTATTGGACTCAACTCTGTCCACTTTACTGAGCAATTGCTTCTTGCTGCAAAGCTGATTTTGAGACAATTTGAGAATCAGTGGCAGCATTTCCTTTGTTCACTTCTCTGCTTATGATATTCCAGATGCACACACTTTGTGAAATGCATTTACTCTGCTTTCACTTTTCATCAAAGCTCATGGTAACTGTGTTTTGCAATTTTTCATTTCAAGCATATCTTATAGTAAAAAATGCAGTCTTAAAAAGCTACAGTTGAAGTTATTTGGCATAAACTCAAAAGCTTGGTTTGGATATGTTTGGCAAAAGAGGGTCATGAATAAGCCATGTTAATCCACCTGATCCTCAGTGAGCTGGGGTTAGGTTCATGTTGGCTGATGATTCTTTTTAGAGGAACACAAGAGCAAAGGCAAATTCTTTTACTCTCTTTAGTAGCAAAGATAGTGCATAATTATTTTTAATTTGCCATATGCATGATCTTATGGAAAAAAAAACCAAATAAGTGATTTGATTTGTTCATACTCTGAAGTTGATTCCCCTCCAGTTCCAGGATCATTCTTAATTCAGGGCTTGTTTCTGCTCTCAGATCAGACGTGAAAGAAATCCTCGATCAAAGTTTGGTTTTTCCCCTATCTTGAGAAGTATCATTTTGAGAGATGGTTTCCCTGTGTTGTGGCTTGAGGAGACATTTGTCACCACGTGGTGACAAAGCAAAGCTTCCCAGGGACCAGAGGAGATTGCACAAACCCTGCTGCAGCTGAGCAAGCAGAAGATGATTGAACCTGGGGCAAAACCAGGGATTCCTCAGCAAAAACAGGGGACAGAGCTAATTAAAAACCCCTTTGGCTGATTTTCTGCTTTATGTAGTTACTTAGAGTTCTGTGTTTGGAATTTCACTGAGCCAGGTGATATTTCAGTGGGGCTTTTAAGTGCAAGGAGCTGATTGACTTTGGAGAGCTCACTGTGAGAAAAGGACTGGATCCTCCAGCTCCAGACTCTGGCCAAACGTGAGTGTTCTGTAAGAGAAGAAGGCCATAAAGTGAAATTTTCAGGGGTAGCTAAGAGTTGAGAATAGGATGCAATAAATGTTAGTACCAGTTAAGTGTCTCATTGAAATGTTCATGTAAATTTTGTCTTGTGGTTTAGAAATGTACGTGATATTTTGTGAGTAACTTGTCTACATACCAAAAGGAGCCTCAATATGTGGCTGTGACATTTCTGAGCAGTGAACTACAGCATGAAAATCCTGGGACCACATTTACATCCTTCCACATCTCTCCTTCAGAAAAGGAGCAGTGACAATTCCCTGCTTGGTGCCACCCTGTCCTGCAGAGTTCCAGCCAGTGAGATTGGGATAAACAATTAATTCCATGCCTCCTCTGGTCCAGTGGAAGGGGGAAAAAATGGAAATACAAGGCCTGGAAAGAAGAGCTTGGGGGTTTCTGGGCTTGTTGGGTGGTGTGGTTGTGATTGGCAAATGGAATAATTCTGTTTGTGGGCAGGGAACAGTGCAGGGGTTTCTGTGCATTGTTGGAGCTGAACTGCTCTGGAGTTTGGGTTTGGGACACTCATGGGGAAAAATTCATAAAGGTGTTGCTATTTCCAAAGTTAGAATTGTCCAGCAAAGTTTTGGCTTTGAGCTTGTCTTGGTTACACATTATGGTCTGAGAGGAAAATCCATTAAAAGTTTTCTGCCTGTTTGGACACAGATCTCATTTTTCTGTGTCAGTTGGTGGTTGGAGTTTAGCAAGGAGAAAAAACAACTTCTGCTTGTTTACTTTCTGTAGTTTTGCTAATTCCTTGGTAACAGGTGGCCCCTAAAAAAAACCCCTGTCCAAACCCCAAAAAAACCCACAAAGAAAATGCCCCCAAAACCACTGAGCACTGCAGCAGGTTCCCTTTTGTACATTTTTCGTGTATGTGCTCTAGATCTGTCTTTTTCCAAACTTGCCTATTCTGTTTGCATCTTCTCATGGTGAAAATTAAAACTCGAGAGGTTTCACACCCTCACAGTGGCTGCAATCAGAAGATCGTGGAAATTTAACTTGTGTTGTGTTTGCTTCCAGTGGTTTCATGAAGGAAATTTAACTCAGAAGGAACAGGAACAAACCGTAGTTTCAGTTCTTGATTTTTGATCATTTTAGCTGAAACACCACAACTTTGCAAAAAAAAAAAAAAACAAAACCCCTATGTGTGTTCCCTGTCACTTTGGGTGAGTGGGCTGGACCTGGGAGGGATTAATTAATTTGGATAATGGAGCTCAAATTACTACAGGCTTACAACAAGGAGTGCCATTCCACCTCTTCAGTTTGCCTTTTTTACAGGGGTTGCTGCTGTACCTTGTAGAATATTTGTGCTTACATGGTCATTCCTTTAAAATAATTCCTTTTAAATTAATTTCCGGTCGGATTCAGACTGGGTAAGAGGTGCAGATGGGAAGAGAGGCTCTGCTCAACATCGCAGTATTTCTGCTGGGAAAAAATCAAAATGTGAAATGTACAGACAGGTTCAGAAAAATAAAACCCATTTCAAATATGTTTCACTGCATTATGTTTGTTTGCTAAGCCTGGAAATGAAAAGCTACACTGTAATGGGTTGCATTACAACCCCAGGCTTTTCCAGTAAAAATGGTTTTGTTAGCAGGTCATGGAGGTAATAATAATAAATTCCTGCCCCCCTCCTCTGGTTTTACATTTCACTCTGGTTTTTTCTGTTCTTCTGCAGATTTCTCAATGTGTAAAACCATTGTGTGGTTCCTCTCTCCTGAGCTCAGGGCTCCACTTTATTGTTTCTGGCCACAGATTTTAGGGAGAGAGAGATTGTCCTTCCAGGGAATTGCTTTGCTTAGAGAGCCCACAAAATAATAATTAGACATCAGCTTCTAGGAATGTTGGTTCCTCTTCCAAAAATACCCTTGCATTTTGCAAGTTTGCCAATATTGGGGTAATAAAGAGCAGTTTTAGGTGGCATTTATCACAGGGAACCATTAAAATCTGCATCCAGCCCTGCTGCTGCACAATAATCCCTGCCCTTTCTCCTGGCCCTGGGCTGTGAAATTATTAAAAGAAGACCAACTCAGGAATAATTTTTTTCTCTAAATTAGCTTAAGCAAATTTCTGCACAGAGCTAACCATTCTGCTAAGGCTCTTTTTATTAAGTTTCTAAGTTTTTTTGGCACGGAATTTAATTTCTTTTAGCAATGTTAATAACCAGTGCCCTCCTCTCCCATAAATGCAGACTCTGGCAGCATCCCTGATGCCCTGGGCCATTTCTGCTGTGGCTCTCAGTGCTGCATGAAGGTCGTCCTGCTTTAGATCTCTCTGTGTTTCTTGAGGGTTCCCTCTGCTCTCTCAGCACACATTTTGGATTTGTTTTTAGCTCCTGCATCACAACAGATCAGTTGCTGCCCTGTCGTTATTTCCATGCTGAGAGCACACCTTGAGAATGGAAAGGAGACCTGAACCTCCCTGGTTCAGTCTCTGCATCTGGTTTTTGTTTTTGGTGGGAGCATCTGAAGGGCTTCCACTCCTTGTTTAACCTTGGCAAGACAAACAGGAGTTGTGGTAATATTGTTCCTATTTTTTAATGATTTTTGGTAATTTTCATATGGCATTTAGGCATTTTAATTGAAAATATGGGTTTGTTTAAGTAGGTGGATATTTTTCATTGCATCAGAGTTCTAATAAAAGATTATTGGTTTAGGAATCTTGCGTCTTCTGCTTGGAGACAAAACTGTTCCTAAAGACTCACTTCTGCTTGTCTACCTTGCTAAACTAATTTTAATTGTATTAAATAAAATCTGGAGCATTAGTTTAGGTTCCTGGGTGCTCAATACTCCTTTACCTGAACCACATTCAAATAAAGCCCTTCAGTCAAAGCAGATTTGCTCTCCTGAAAGCCCTGTCAGTCATTCTGGATGTGACAGTTGTCTAAATAAGCTGGGTTTTGAGCTGCTTGCAGCTGTGAATTGGTGAGAATGTCATCAATGCTCCAATGCAAGGAGGTGGGAGGTGCAGTGAATTTGTGCTCAACAAAATGCCTTTCAGAGGAACAGATCCTTAACATTAAATACCTGTTAGCAACTTGGAAATACCCATTATGAGCTTTAAAAATTTAGTCCTGAGTTTAAAAATCAGTTTGTATTTTAAACTTCTTCATCTTTCCAACATTTTAGCTTTTAGGAGCTGAGTATTTAAGGGCTTGTTTGCTATGCAGTTGTGCCATGGAGGATTTTTGCTTACAGTCAGGTGCTGGGCACTAATGGGACTCACACAAGATCCAAGTGCTTCAAAATTCCCACATCTGTAACAGCAAGAGCTGAACAAGACCACCGATAATAAATTTACTCGTTTTGCTATCATGGCACTATTGTAGATTTAAGTTTGCTTTGTATTTCTAAATATAAATATGGGCACCATTCAAATTGAATCTCAGCAAGTTACCCGAGTCCTGAGAGCTCCATAA